GAAAGGATATCCACCTCTTGTCAAAACTATACCCTTTGGGAGATAAGGGAGACTTCAGTCATTTGTACCTGTCAAAAATGTAATGGGCCATAACAATAATTAATGGGAGATCTCTATGATCACGAAACCAATGGCTATCCAAAAGAGGACAGCTATTGTGGAGGCTGGTAGTTAACATTAGTGCCATGTTGGGAAATCTGCAAGGGCAGACCCTGGGAGAAGAAATTCGGAAAAAATCATCAAGATAATCAATCCAATGGGAGGAGCAATCCATTATGAAGTAACCAAGAGAAACTCCTATAAGGTCAACTTACAAGAGTGGCTAAAAATAAGACAATGGAAGGCTATATGTCACCCAATTACGTGACACCATTAAATCACCTGAATGTCAAGAACATGACCAGAGATTTGTGCCATCTAAGTTTCAACTAGCCTGCGAAGGATCCAAATATGGTAGGAATCATCCATGGTACCCACGATCATCAAGCGATAAACAAGACCCTACTAAGGAACACACAATACAGCCTCTTAAAGATCAATAAAAAGAAGTCCATAGTGGAACTTCGGTATGCTAATAGTTCCGGGCAGAGCAGGGCAACTGATGAAAATGATATCACCATGTGGTAAAATTGACAAACCTAGCTAGGATAGATAGTTAAAATAGGATTATATAAATTGCTCATGTAATCTAAAAATGTACTACTGATTCCTCAATAAAGATTCATCCTGTCAGTTGAACTTTAAAAAAAAAAAAAAAAAAAATTTATAACAATATATGTTTTTAATGCTACTATAGTATCTTCTTTGAATTCAATACTTCTTTGTTATAGTAATTGTTGAGAGATCTATAGTTTTGAGTACTTGTCATATATTTTTGAAGTTTAACAAATATATTAACTATATTTTCTTTTCTTTTATTTATTATTTACAATATGTATTAAACTCTATTTATATTTATTATTATATTGTATATACTATATTACATTTTTTTTTTTTTTTTTTTAAATGCTATTTTATCCTTGCATTAGGTTGGTATCTTTATTAATTATTAAGATAGATTCTAGGAACAACCGAAATTACTAGTTACCCATACTGTCTAAGGATTTGCAGATCAACGAATAGTACAAGGGATATCTATTTACATCTCACCTAATCAGAATAGGGGAACTATATTATCATCTAGTGTAGAATTTTTCTTAATTTTTAACAAAGTTGAAAGGAGGTGAATATATGCTACCAAAATAATGGACCACAAATTATACTCCCTTATCACAAACCGGTGCTTTCTAGAGGATACCATAGGACGGCTTGTTGCTACCCTTTTGGAGGAACTAATATGCCAAGAACTTGCCTAAGATGCTCAACACCACCAGTATTGGGAGTGTCTTATATAAGGTCTGAAGACCTTGTTAGTGTTGAAAAGAAAAAAGAAAAAAAAAAATATGGATCTGTCCTGTATCTTGACTGGGGCATGGTCTTATGTCACGGAACTTCTGTCACCCATCTATTAAAAAACTGTTTTGTATGGTCCTTGTGTTTTTGTGTATGATCGGATCCATCTTTGCATGCAATCCATGGGACAAACAGTCCGTAAGCTTGTTTACTCTTCCTTGATGGCCAATTATTTAAGAGATTACAGTGTCCTGTATCCACCCGCACTAGCACATAACTTATGGTGGATCCCAGGTTCTTATGGAGTTAAGAAAATACATTCAGACATGTGAGGTGGCCAATGAGAGCTTGTTTATCAATCTTGTCCAACGCGTTTTGTGTTAACCAATCAGAATTAATGGAATTTGTGCTACCCAAAATTTCAGGGTCAAGCTGGGATAGGCAAAATTCCTTAAAAAGCTATAAAAAGTGATAGCTTTAAGAGGGCACACAACCATTCAAAGGGTAGAAAATGAGTCCTTTGAATAGAAGAGACCCTCTCTCAAGTACTGTTTTGTTCCTCCACTTCATCTGATAGGTGGCGGGTACTCTGCTGTTGATCCTTCTCCCTTGAGGAACTTTCTTACCATTGGTAGTCAAGGTGAGTGCTGGACTTTGTAGGTCACAAGAGTCCAGTATTGTTCATAGGAGATTGTAGACAATATGAGGGGAAGTAGTGGAGTCCTGAAGAAAACTCCTTCAGGTTGGTTTAAAGAAAGTATTAAGACTTTATTAGCATAGAAGTGACAAGATTTCTGTGAACATTTTTTTTATATGTGGTTAGAGAATCAGTGGGAAGAGTTTTGCTATATCACATATATTGAATATAATAAGTTTTATATTTTTTTTTTTTGAAAGGATAACGAAGCCCAGTTTATTGATGTCAATAGAACAGACCTTATATATTAGTCTAGCTGTTAATTACAAGATGATTCTATAATCAATCTTATGCTAACTATATTAAGTTTACATCCATCCTACCATTATATCTATAAACCTTATTGTAACACCTTGTGTACTCTCATGGCTTGTTGCCAGAAAAAGCCCTACTATCCACTATCTACATCTATGTTACCCTTTCCTGACCCTCATTTCTACATGCCCAGGTCTATAACACAAAACCCCTTTTATATCTCGTCCTGCCGAATATTCTTTTTACAGTACTTATTACAGTATGCCTACAGAATACCCACATGAAGTCTTAGATGTCATCTCATCCTGCCGAAGCACTTTTTTTATATGACTTATTACAGCCTGCCTATGGAGTGATCACGTGGAGTCTTAGATAGATGTTGATTTGATAGAGACTCTCTTCTAACTAACGTGTCTAGGCTTCGCTAGCTTCCTTGATTTTACGGCATACAGATTTTCAATCTATCTACAGGAGCTTAAAAGAACCTGTCTTGTGATAAGGTAACTTTAACACTAAAACTGATTGAAGCATCTTGTGATCTTTGAGTATCCTATGATCAGACAAGGTCTTGGCCGGAGATGGTTAGATCATCATTATGAAATGGATAGGATCTTCTTGTATCACCTAGGCTTTAAGTGGTACTGCCTCGCAGTGGTATTGAATTCAGAAACAGTACTTGGCAACTTGGGAGCATTACCACTATGCTATTGATCCACAGGTCTTATAAGTTTTATATTTATATAACTATTATTTTATTTAATTATTATATTTTTATATATCTTTTTTATTTGCTTATTCATAAGTAATTTATATTTAAAATACAAATAAACTTATAATATTACTAATAAAATATATCTATTTTAGATACTATAAAAAATATTATTATATTATTTTAATATATTTATTTGTTTATATAAGTAATCTTATTTTAATGGAAAGTTGCTATTATAATGTTTACATAAAGAGTCGATTAATTTGTTTTGATAATAAGTTATACAGTATATATTTATTATAACTTGTTTCTTTTATGTATTTATATTTATATAATAGAGTTTGAAATAAGTTTATTATTTTAGTATATATAATTAAGACTATCTTATTTTTAGAAAGTTTTAAGTCTTGAAGTGATTAAAGCAACTTGATTTATTAAATAAATTTAATTACTTTTGAGATTTCTTGTAGTGTTAAAAAAGATATTAATTTGTATTAATCTAATTATAAGCTATATAAAGTTGATATTGACTTATTTATTCTAATTGTGAATTAATTTTCAATTATCTTTTTTTTTTAAAAAAAATTTTAAGAAAAAGAAATATAAAAAAATTATTAATAAATCAATTATATTCCTATTCTTGATATTTTCAAATAGTTTTGTTATATATTTATTAAGTTGATTTGTTGATTTGAAAAATATGTTATTTTTTTTATATACTATATTTAAACCAATTTATTTTTTTCAAGAAAATTACTATAAAAAAAATTTTTTTTAAAAAAAGATGCTAAAAAAAATTTTTTTAAATATAAATTTATATAATAAATTTTATTTAATTGTAAAAAAATTATTTTATTTAATAAGGATTTTATTATTATTTTTCTATAAATTAAAAAAAAAATTTTTTAATTTTTAATTCTATAATTTTTTATAAAATTTATTATAATAAAAATTAAAATTTTTATTATTTCTTATATATAAAATTTACTGTATATATAAAATTTACTAACAAAATAGTATCTACTTTTTATTTTTTTTGCTTTGGATTAATATTTTATAATAAAATATTAATTAATAAAACTTTAAATATAAAATCATAATAATTTTATAATAAAAATATTAAAGTTTTATTTAAATTTAATAATTATTTATTAAATTATAATAAAAAATATTAGTTCAAAGACTTTTGTATTAAACTGTATACTGTAATTGATTTTTTAATTACTTTATAATATTATTAACTTAAGTCAAATTTAGAAAGTCAATTAATATAATATAATTAATATTTTAATTAAAATAAATTATATTATTACTTGATAAAATCAATTAATACAATATATTAAAAATAATTTAAAGAGATCAACTAAATCGTTTTTTTTGCCAGGGTTTATTGGCCAAAATAGTAACACAAAAAGATCTGGTACAAGTAAGTTATTAAATGGTTAACACAATCAAAGAAGCGAACACAGTGTGACCTTTCGGATTCATTACTTAATCTTCGCAGTCTGTCACGTGATAACTTAATGTATACTTCGTATTGTAATGTTATTATCATTTTCTTGACAAAACTATCCATGATTTACTAGTCTATAAAGCATAAATAAAAAATGACTTGTAATTTTTCGCATATAATACTCTGCTTTTGGTTATAATAAAATATGATGTACTTCACTATATTCTTTGTGTTATCTTGAATGGTTGGAAGATTTAGTAATTGACATCACCTCAACAACTATACGTAAATCAATATATATAGTGCGTTACAATAGTGTATTATAAAAGGTCGAACTTTCAATAATATCATTTCCTTTTGCTCCTCTTTCCAAAAACAATCTTCTAGTCTCGCGGTCTTCAAAGTGGGCAATTAATATTAACAATAAATAAAAATTATTCCCCTTCCCCTCACCACCACAGCCATCATATTGTAAAAAATTCTTGGCCAATATGGAGACCGTGAACGAAAGGAATGAAGGTGTCCAAAATAGAATTAGTTTACAAACATATTCTACTACAACAACCCCACCAGTGAATATTACAGTAGAACAACAGCAGCAGCAACTACCACCACCGCCACCGCCTTCCCAGCAGCAACCGCCACCAACTTCTTTGCAACAACAAATACGGCAAGAGCAACAACTTCTTGGGTTCGATAGGAGCGAGGGAACAAACACTCAAAATCGACCCTATAATTCTTATCAATCCGAAAAGCCTGGATTCAGTGTGTTTGATATTAATGCTTTGGTGAAAAGTGCACTTGAACAGGAACTTGAACCAGAGGTGGTTTATGCTGCTGCACAATTGTTGCTGTTGTCGAACCCAGATACGAATAGTGGGTATTTTGTTGATTCAAGTTCTGGTATCTTGGATGTTTCTTCAAATCGACCGAGTGCGATGTCATTATCAAATTTGCTCTTGCCGGATGACGCTGGTTCTTCATCAAAAGCTACGGTATTTATGAATGAGAATTTTTTGTTTATATTAAAAAAAAATTTTTTTTGTTTCTTACATTTTTTTATTTAGTGAGAAAGGAATATTTATTATTGACGTGATTGCACTTCTTATATTAACCTTTCTTGTTACTACTAGTAAAAATTTTTCACTGTCGAAATGATGGCGGTAGGTCTATCATAAA